AACTGCAATTTTGCGGTTTGGTGCAGTTTGCGGTTTGAAAATTGCGGTGCGATTTTTGAAAATGATCAAACCACGTTTTGCAGTTTGGTGCGGTTTCGAAAAAAAGTTAGACCATACCGCACTTTGATGTGGTTTGCGGTTTTTATACTATATTTTTATTGAATAAATATAAAATAGCTAAAATATATGAGCTAATCTTTGACTATTAGCTGATTTAAGGTTAAAAAAAAAATTAATATTTGTATTATAAATTAATAATCACAAAATAATATAAAAGTTTTGTTTAAAAAAAAAAACACTTAAAACTTTTAAAAATATGGTTAAACCGCAAATCGCACCGCACCAAACCGCATTTTTCGGTGCGGTTTGGTGGGGTTTGGTTAGAAGTGCGGTTTGAAAAATATATAAACCGCAATTTTGCGGTTTGGTGCGATTTGGATTCCAAACCGCACCGCGAACACCCCTATGCAGTGCATATAACACTCCCCCTGATTTCGATTTCAGCATAGTTCACAAAGATGTCACATTCCAATAATTTTGTGAACTAATTGCTCAAATTTCTTCGAAATAAGTGATTTAGTGAATAGGTCGGCAAGGTTGTCACAAGACCGAATTTGCTGGATATCTATTTCCTCATCCTTTTGTAGATCATGTGTGAAGAATAGTTTTGGGGATATATATTTTGTTCTATCTCCCTTAATATATCCTTCAGAGTTACTGAGAGATGCATGTTGTATTGTCTTCAAAAATGATAGTTGGATTTTCTGTTATTGCGTTCATTCCACATTCTTCTTGGATATTACTAATCATCGACCTCAGCCATACACATTCTCGTCCTGCTTTATAAAGAGATATCAACTCTGCAAGATTTAAGGATGTTGCGGTCAATGTTTGCTTTGTGAACAGGTCAAGAACGAACAACCATTAGAAAGTTGATTGGAGTTGCTTTGTCCATGAAGAATCTTTTCAAAACTCTTTCTGTATAGTTTGATTGATGGACAAAAATACCATGACTCAAGTGCTCAATTTGCAATCCAAGGCAAAATTTAGTTTTTCCAAGGTCTTTTATCTCAAATTCTTTCATCAAGTATTTTGCAGTTTTCTCAAGTTCATTTGGGGTTCCAATGATATTTAGATCATCAACATACACTGCAATAATAGGGAACCCTAATTGTGATCGCTTAATGAAAACACAGGGACTAATTTGGTTGTTCTTGAACTCTTCTCTCATAAGGTATTCACTGAGACGGTTATACCACATTCTTCCAGATTGTTTTAATCCATAAAGTGACATTTTTAGTTTTATGGAAAGTAATTGTCTAGGCTTGTGGTATTCTGGTAGTTTTAGTCCTTCGGGGACTTTCATGTAAATGTCTGTATCGAGTGACCCATACAAATACGCAGTCACTATATCCATTAATTGCATTTGCAATCCTTTTGTGACTGTCAAACTTACCAAAAATCTTAATGTAGTTGCATCAACTACTGGAGAATATGTTTCTTCATAATCAATCCTTGGAATTTGAGAAAATCCTTGGGCTACAAGTCTTGCCTTGTATCTAACTATCTCATTTTTCTCATTACTGTAGGGAATTTTTCAAACTCAACTTTAAGCCCCATTGTAATCATGCTTTTAGGCATGGTGGCATCCAAAGGGAAGGAAGCTAGAGATAAAAGTGTAATACCCCAAATTTTTGATTATTTTTAATCAACGATTTTTCTAGTATACAGTTTAAGTTAATAATTATTTTCAATTTAAAAAAAAAATTAATAATTATTATTTTGTTCCCATTTTCGGATTTATTATACAAAAAAAAATGATTTCGGAGCTTCACAGAGGCTGATTTTGAAAACAAAAAAAAATTTAAGCTCATCTTTTCAAAGCTAGTAACAAACTCAAATGGAAATTGGGTCTTATCTTTTGAGTATTCTAGAGCAATTAAACCTAAGATTTCTAAGTTATATATACCCTAAATCCCAAAATTGATATGCTGTATACAAACACTATCAAATAATACCCATCTCTTTCAACCTTTCACAAGTCGTCATTCCCGACCGATTAATCAACGGTAAGCCATGTTCTTCTTCACCTTCATCCTTCTTGAACCAAACCTCCACGAATTTCGCCTTCGTTAGTTAATCTTGAACTATACTTTCATAGGGCCTCTTCCAATTCATAATTAAGGAGTATAATTTTTTTTTTTTTTTTTTTTTTTTTTTAAAAAAAAAAAGAAAAATTCAAAGGGGGTTGTTGTTGTTTTCTTTCGTGGACTAGTGGTATCAATGGTGGGTTTTCGCTGTTTTCTTTCGTGGGCTAGTGGTATCAATGGTGGAAGGATGAAAAGTTATTTATAAGTGACAAAGAGTTGCAGAAAGAAGGCTGAAATTTATTTAGAGGACGAAGGCTGTGGATTTCGACTTTCAGTCGTGGGAATGTGGGAAAGATAATGGACCTCTCATCTAATATCCAATACCTCTTTTGTTTTCTTGTCACAGTTGACTTACAAACATTTTTTTTGTTTCCTCCAAATTTTATTATATTGATAGTATGCTACAAGTAGTTCTAAATCACATACTACTACTTTCTCGGTATTAAATATACGAGTAGGACTGAATTAGTTTATTTTATTGTTTGTTGTAGACGGAGGCTATTAGGTGAACGTTTTGGAGGTTATTTACCTTGAGATTTTACGCGTAATCCAAGGTAATTTTCAATGTTCATCATCTTTAGAATCCCGAACTATGTACTTACGTAATTATATGTGATGGATATGTTACCGTATGATATTATGGAATCCTATAATATACTAGTTTTCTATAATTGTGTACTGGTATAGTATTTTCGAAAATTTAATTATTTGTGTCGTATGAGTTTTTTTTATATAATTATAATCTTGGGAATTGGATGATTGATTATATGTGATTGATGGTCTCCAAGTCCTATTGAGAAATGAGTTGTAACTAGTGTGTCTTGTAAAATGACTCTGTTTTAAAAGTACAGAAACTAAGATATTGTTACTTGGGATTAAATTAATTTGTGCAATACTCGTGTGCAATGTGATCGGACAATTTAATCTATCAAAATGTGCATTAAATTAAGAAGGGAAATGAAACCCGAAAGGGTGAAAAACAGGTTGCCCACTAGTGGTTATGATTGCTAGTAGTTGGTTAAATTGACGTATATTGATGTTTAGTCTTCCTCCTAATCAATGGGTATTAGTGAGGGGTGTGCACACTAGGGACATTCTGTTTAATTTATGGCCATTTGGGGTTACGCGCGACCCTCTGTAAAGTAGGTGGTGACAAGGACTAGTCCGGTTTACTGGCGTTTTCTTTCCCTTTCTTAATTAAAGTAATAAATTTTAAGTGACAACTTGATTTTTTTTTTACTTATTATTATGGTGTCGATAAAAGTGTGTTGGGTAAAATGTTTTCAAACTAAAATTAATATTTTACGGGATGGAGTTGGAATTACTCAGTTTATCTGATCTTGGGAGTTTCTCTCTTTTCTTGTTTCTGATTTATTTTGCAGGTTGGTTAAAGGGTACTCGATTACGTGTGAGGAGACGTTAGAATAATCACGTAGCTAAGACTTTTTCTTAGTTAACTCTGAGCTTAGTTATTTTCCTTTCATTTAATGTTTTAAAATGTTTTACAGTTTGGATGTGACGACTATTTTATTCTTGTCGCCACTTAGATCACTTAGTTATAAATGGTATTTCGTTTTTCTTTGCATTTATTTTCTATGGAAAATAAGTGTAGCAGTAACACTCCCAAGGTTCGATGGTCGGTTTTGAAAGAAAAGGGTTACTCTTATTGTTTACAATGACCCGAATTTTGGGGGTGTTACAAATAGAGTCGTTAATAAGTTCTAGGAACTTGTAAACCGTTCACAAGCGTGAAGGTTACACCCCATTCACGATCATGGAACTCAATAGTGGTTCGGAACCATGACTGGATATTCGGGGATGATGGTACGAATCCAACCCAAAAGAGATTGAACCCGCCCTAAATCGGCCTCTACTTAATTCTTATGATATTCATGTGCGCTTTCCGATCAACATACATATATCAAGTTAGCCCTAAACCTGTTTAATCTACATTGGTTAATTATTAATGCACAATCAAATCTATTATTGGTGATCACTTGAATTAAAATCATATTAAGCCTAAATCAAATTATTAGTTATCTTATTAGGCGTGATTTCAATTACAAATTCCCTTTAAACCTGCAGAAAGGGGCGTGATCAAGCAATAACAATAAATCATGAATAATCAAGCAACATATGATTATTGACACACCAATCATCGTCATCATATTATCCTCAAAACATTATTAGCAAGATCCTAGGCATGATACTAAACGGATTAATAACAAACCCTAGCATGTCATTAATAAAAATCATAATCAAAGCATTAGCCTAAACATGATACTAGAAAACAACATGATATTAGAAATATTAATTAACACCCTAACATGATACTAGGAATCAAAATCAACATCCTAACATGATACTAGGAATTAAAATAATATTCTAAGCATGATTTCTATATCAAAGGAATAAATATTAGGGAGACCAAATTACTAACTTTGATGCCTCGTACCTCTTTCTATCAAAACAATACACACGTTAGTAACTTCAAGATAGATTGAATCAAATAAAGTAAATAAATAAGAATTGAGATATAGATTAGGGACCAAACCCTCAGAACTATCGATCAACCTTTCACGTCGAGGTCAAAGGCAACTTCGAGATTGGCTAGGAGTATTCAAAGCTCGTGATGGAGGTATGGTGTGGGATTAGGGAAAAGTATCAAGTATGTATTAAGACGTGTTTAGGCTAGGCTAAGAACATAAAGAATCAAGAAAGAGAGAGAGAAAGTATTAGAGAGGGAAACTAGTAGAAAAAATGAATAAGGCACCGCACCTTTCGCACCGGTTTTTCAAAACCGGTGTTAAAAGAAATAGGCGGGATTGAAGGAAAGAGTTTTCGCACCGGTTCTTACAAAACCGATGCGAAAAGTTAGTAAATCGCACCGGTTCAATTCGAACCGGTGCGAAAACTCTTGTTAAATAAAAAAAACCCGGTTATAACTTAATCTTCTTTCTTTCTCTTGAAACCCCTCGATCTTTCCTCCTCTCTCATTCTCTCTCTTCTCTCTCTCCTCCATTGAAGCGTACTCATCTGCCTCTCTCTCCTTTCCTTTCTTCTCTCTTTCGATCGCCTATGCTTGGCGATGGTGGAAAACTCTTGTTAAAAGGGTTTTGTTTGGCGATGGTGGCTATGGTGGCCTTATTGCGACCTAAAATCGTTGGCTTCATCTTCTTTTGTCGAAAACTCTTTATGGTGGGTTCGGCTGTTACGCAATTGCGAATACTCTTCCTTTTTTCTGGGTTTGTAATGAAATCATTGGTTTTGTTTGTGTTTTTTTGATGAAATTATCTTGTGGGTTGTTTTGTTTTGATGTTTTTTTTTTTTTATGGGTATCTTCTGTTTTCCTGTTTTTTCTCCTTAATCTGATTATGGTTTGATTATTATGATTGTTGGACCTTATATTAACAATATCATCAACTTTAGCATAAGTTTGAATTCAATAGAGTTTCGATCTTGGTATAAAAATGCCATAATTTCTGTTGCAAGAATCTATTTGGGTATGTTTGAAAATTGGGGGTTCTTATGTTCTGCAGAGGATTTTTTTTTTTTTGAGTAATTAATTTGAGTAGGAATTTTATTTTTAATAATGGAGTGTTGGTAATTGGAATCAGGACCCAATTTCTTTGTTTGATAGCGTTTCGAAACTAAAAGGCTGCGGCAACCTATTATACCTTGATTAGGGTTTTGAATTTTTTTGATGTTTGTATTAAGTGCTTTGAATTTGCTCATGTATTGGTTTTTGGCTTAATTTTGGTGAGTAATTGTTGAACTTTGTAACAAGGGGAAGTTAGTGGCTTGGGTTTTCAAAAGTATGCTGTAAATGAACAAAGTGAGAATACGACTGCTAGGTTAAAATTCTGTTCAATGGCTGAAGTTTATGATTATTATAAAACTTTTTGGACAGAAAGACGAGAACTTAGTTTGGATTTTAAGAAGTTTTTCAATTCTTATTGGAAATTTACTACCCTTTCTGCTCAACTTTTCTTTCCTAGATCAAGATAGTTAAATGATTTATGGTGGCAAGGGCAAGGATATGGGGCATTCAGGAAGTCTGCACTATTTAGTTTGAATATTTGTAGAGGCTACTTCAGTATTTGTCTACACTTAATGGGGTCTAGAACTTGATTTTAGCTGCTTGCTATGTTGTTAGTGGGATAGCATTGGGGTCTTAATCCTGGTAGCAAGCACTGATTACATTTTATAGTTTGACTTATTTCCTCATACTTCTTCGATATACATTGTTTAGGAAGATCTGGATTAGATGTCCACTAAAAGACTTTAATATTAATAAATACGTAATCTTAAACAAGTAAAGCTTATGACATTACTAATGAAATCTCAAACATGGTAGCTTAAGTTGATTAGTGGAGGTTCTTATATTAATTTGGCTTACCATTACGCTCAAATAGAATTATGCATGTTTTTTCTGATTCACAAATCCAAAGGAGCTTTACATTTCACCCCAGATATTACTATTTTCTGTATGTGCTGATGATGATACTGTATAAAAATTTCAAAAAAAATGTATGTTCTGATAGGAGAAATAAGGTCTTTAAGCCTAATTAAGTACACTCATTTATATGTGCCAAGTATAATGACTGTTAATTAGAGTATAAATTTTGAGTTTAATTATCGAACTTATATGCAGAAACCTCACTCAAAATCTGAGGTGGACGGTAAAAGCAAGGGAACTAAAGGAGAAAAGGTAAAAAAATCAACTGTGCCACAAGAAAAAGTAAGCACTGATGCAAATGAAGAGAAAAATAAGAAGAAATGGAAGCGAAAGCAGGCAAATGACCTCCGATTTGAAGCAGGGATGGAAAAGTTGGATGGTGTTTCAACAAGAAAGCAGAGGAAGAAAGAGTAAGTGTGTGTGTGTGTTTTAATTTTTTTTTTTATTTTTTATGTTGGTTCTTGTTTGTTTATTTGTTTTTGTACTCAAACAGAGTTGGATTGTTGTATTTGTCATTGAGAGTGGTCGAGTAAGAGAAAACAATCTAGTGTTGGACATAATAGGATTAAGTTTAATCAATTAATCCTCCCTCAAGAACAATGATTTGATTTTGAAATTGGGTCTGAAGAACTATTCAGTGCTATGTTGAACGGATGACATTGCACTCTTGGATTCGAGTATGTTGATAGTGAGGCTGATAAGCTTTAGAAATACAAACACAATTGTGATGACTTAAAGCTCAGAACTATAGAAGAAAATTGGATTTTCAGGTTTAAAAGAGTTCTTTGATTATTTGATGATATCTGTGTCAATTATTATATTGCTGAATATTTCTAAGTAATTAACATTTGTAATTTCATTGGCTGGGTCCTTGAAGTTGAAAAGAGTTGGACAAGCTGCTAATGAAATTATGTTTCTCTTCCTTTTCTTTTTCTAGACATAGTGTCTATTACCCAGCACGTAAACCTGTGCATCCACTTTAATTATATGATACGTTAATTATAATTTGATAGCAATTTAACTCTTGTTGAGCTTGTTTAACTACTATTTGTGAACCTTTTATTTTGCAATAGAGTCATGCATTAAGAATTGCTGTTTTGGCTTATGTATACAATTCAAGGAATCTGTCAGCTTTCTTAGATCATTTGTGGAGTGTGGACACTTCCACGGCTTTGTGTTGGTTGACCGTTATGCTGACTTCATTTAGAAAGAAGGCCAAGTTTAGGAAATTCTATGTTAGATTCTATAACATGTTGTTGCTGGTTTCATTGGGTCATGCATTAGTGGTGGTTTCATTGTTGCTGGTTGTCAGTTTTATTTGTGTCTAGTCAATATTGTTCACACAGATAATTAGAACTAGTTCAACTCTTGATTGAATAACCAGTCAAAGTTAATTAATGGCTCCCAATGTTTTAGGGGCAGGACTTCGCAGATGTGTTGAGGAGATTGTATTTTCTTATACATACCCCAGCCTTGATAGCGAGGTACGCTAACTCTTGTTCTCTCCATAACAAGTCATTACCTCAACTTAGAGCAAGTGCTATACTCTCTCAACAACTGTGACAAGCTAACAGAAATATGTTTTGTTTCAATATATCAGGTCTCAAAACACATGAATCATTTATTAAAGGCGCCATTCTCTGTACATCCAAAAACAGGTTAGCAGCTATTCTTGCTTGTCTAAGGATATGTTGCCAAGTTCTGGATATTTTTTAGTTCTGTTTCAATAGTGTGAACCCTCCGCTTGAATTTGTCTGGCCCTTTGAATATATTTCTTTGATTTATCAAATTGTTAGATTTCTTTTCGAGAATCTGTTTCCAGAATATTTATGCATTATGAGCCTGTATAAAATCTCATTCCTTAAACTATTTTGTGTTGATGTTTAGGTCTTGTATGTGTTCCAATTGATCCCAACCAATGTGAGGACTTTGTTTAAAATGCCTAGGCTGTGTGATACTGGTTAAATTTGTTTAAAATGGAATGTGCTTAGTTGAATTTTTTGGAACTTATTCTTACTAAACTTTTTTTGCTAGAACTTTTTGTAATAAGCTGAGGATTCCATGATGTATTTTTAAAGTATTATTTCGATCATCAGATTTTGCATCACCTCTGATTCTTTTGGTCTCTTCAGGTCATCCAATTACGCCACTCTGGTTATGACATAGCTTAGTGTAGTAGCTTCACATATGGTACACTCTACTCTTATTTTTAAGGAATCTGTAGTATTGTGGCCTTGTGGGGAACTCGAATAAAACCAAAACCCATAAGAAACAAGAAAAGAGAATAATATAGAAAGAACTATACAATTTGGGGTCTGTATAAGGTTTTGTATAACATGAGGATACCTAATTAAGATGGCTACCCTTGTGGAATTGTTGTCGCACAAACTATGTTAATGACATGCTGTTGATCTTCTAAACTGTCAATGTGATTGTTTTGTGTGTCCTTATGTTGTGTGTTGATTAATTGTAGAGTGCATGTAATATGAGAAGTACTGGGATTGAAGACGCAGCTGAGTTTCTTGAGAAGCAGCTAATATCAGAGTTGTCCGAAATGGATTTAGAGGAAGCTTTGATGCTTGGTCGAGAATTCAGTCATTATCTGAATTTAATGGGCATTGCTGAAACTCACCACAGGTATGAAATGCTTCTGCAGATTATCTTGCAATTCTAGTGGTCAACATAGACTAAATGCCGTAAAATTCATTATAGATAGTTTTGGTCCCTTTTGGCTATTTAAAGACATGCATCTTTTGAAAGGTTACAGGTATTTACCCTGTTTTATGATGTTATCTGAAATTTAGTCTAAGCAGTTTCCGATAAATGATTGTTTTATAATTTATGTTATTAATTCGGTGGGCAATCTAACCTTAATGTTCTATGAACTTTTTCCTTAAATTGTCTAGGAGTGTTTATTTGTGTGCATTTACATCTTGATGAGGATATATTAATGATTGTTAAGATTTTGAAACTGATTTACCTTTCATTCACTTCAAAATCTTCCAGGTTAAGATATGGGATCCAAGTCTTCGTGGTTCTGAGCTTCGGGCCACTTTGCAAGGCCATACCGGGTAACTTCTAAATCTTATATTTATTTCTTGTTTTCTTTTTGGGACAAATATTGAAGGATTATAGTGTTAAAAGGAGTACTAGTTGGTGACTGACACTCATTTAAAAGGAAGTGTAGAGATATATTTGTCATGCCTTATAGTGCTAAATGTTACATTATCTGAAAATCAGTTGTTTGTGTCAGGTCAAATCAGGTATGCTCAGTAGTCAGTTTCAATTTGTTTTGGATAGGGACCATTTGGGTCGCACTTAGTTCAGCTCTATAGTATTTGAGTAGGCTCGTGCTCCATATTCTTGGTTCCCTCAGAACTTTTTTCTCCTAGCATATTTATGGTATCATCTTATAGATGAAGCTTTGAAACAATACATGTAATTAGAATTGGGGTCCTGGAAATTCTATTTTGATCCTACTGAAAATTTGTTGATTGAGGTAACTGAATTTGGTCTGATGAAGAAGTGAATTTATCTTGATGGCATCTACTGAAAATATAAAAATAAATAACCATAATTTGAGACCTCAGCTTTGCACCACCAGACGACGGCTAACAGCAAGCAGATAGCCAACAGGCTTTGCAAAACCAGGCCAGCAACCAAACAGCAGCATCACAGCAGGTCAAAGAGCAGGCAACGAAACCAACAGCCTGAACCAGACCTAAGCAGCCAGAAACAGAAAGCAGTACCCAGCAACAGCTTCTCTAGACCTTGATTCTGTATTTTTTTTTCTTTAGTTTTTTAAAGTGTAATATTACAAGTTATTGAAGAAAATATATGTGTTTTATGTATATTATGATTATATATAAGTTTTTGGTACAATTTAAGTGAAAAAATGCAAAAAAAAAAAAAAAAAAAACAAAAAAAAAAACTTTTATTTTTTTTTGGCATTTTTGGCACCGGTTTTGCAAAGAATCGCTGCTAAAAGTTTTTTTTTAAAATAATTTTGGGGACTTTTGGCACCGGTTCTAAGTAAAAACCGGTGCGAAAAGTCATTTTTCCCACCGGTTTTGAACCGGTGCGAAATCTATGGGGTTTTAGCACCCCCAAATCCGGTCCGGTTCAAAACCGGTGCGAAAAGGGGGGTTTGAACCGGTGGGGAATTCGTATTTTCGCCTAGTGGGATTAGATGGTGATTGTTGGTGATCAAGCTTGTTGATGATTGAAAACGGGGTAAAACGACCTCTATTTTTAAGAAAAAAGAGGGTCGAAGGATCACAAAAAAGTCAGAAATCAAATCAAAGTAAAACAGATTCCATCGCGCGCGCGACAGGTCCATCGCAACGCGACAGACTTGTCGCGGCGAACAACAGTTTTTTCAGTTTTTGTTTTTATCATAACTTTTGATCCAAAAATCGGAATAAGATGAATAATATATCGTTGGAAATCTATAGAAGTCTACTTTCCAACCCAATTAGAGTCAAATTGATATCTTTTGTAGAATAAAAGATATGATCAAAATAGTGGAAAGGTGTCATTTTTAGATAGAGTTTGGTATTTCATTCATATCTTTTTCGTTACGTACATCTCAGAATTGGGATTAGATATATCATTGGAAAGATAATTTCAAGGGCTATCCAACCATCTAAGATTTGGTTAAAAATTATGAGGCACGAAAATCATATCTGAATGTATTTGAATTCGAACTGAACAAGGACTTTTTAAAAAAGGAGTTTTATTCAATTTCAAACTCTTTGATCTTTATCTTTCAAAATGGATAGATTAGAACCTTCTAGAGACTTCTAGAAGTTCCTAATGAATCCTAATTGGTTTAGGATTGGGATTAAGGTAGTTGGACCCTCACATGATCATTGGGTCGTAGGTAGCATGGACCAAGGTCCGGTTTGGGCTTGGTTTAGTATTTCGGCCATAACTTATTCGTTATAAGTCGGATTTGAGCTTATAATATATCATTGGAAAAATCTTTTCAAGACCCATCCAACTAAACAATAATTGAACTCGGATTATGGACCAAAATAATTTGGTTTGGACTTTTTCATAAAGATGACACAAAATGAATGATTTTGGGTTCAAGGACACGAAATAAATGATTTTGGATTAAAACATTTTAGGGAAGGTTAGAAATGGTTAAGGCTAAAGGGAATTCACGAGACTCTTCAACTCTTCACCTAACTCGATAATCAAAGACGTGAAAGGTACCCATCACTGGGTTTGGTTTTTGGGGAGACACAATCAGGTGTCTACAATTACGTTTTCTCACAAATACCCATTTGTATCTAACGGATTTTACACCTGCTAGTGTAAGAGTTATTTTTCCGAAATCTTCTCGTTCTTCAAGTGACCTAAACTCAGCTTGCATTGCCTCCCTCCACTTTGGCCAATCACTCCTGTGTCGACATTCTTCCACTGTTCTTGGTTTAACATCGTTTTCATCAGACACAATGTCGATTGCAATGGAATATGCAAATATTTCATTTACGATAACATCTTTTCTATTCCAATGAATCTTGGTAGAGATATAATTCATTGAGATTTCATTGTTATCAACGTCTTTGTCATCTTGTTCATTCCCCGTAGGGTTGTCTTCTTGTTCATCCCCTTTTAGATTATTTTCTTTACTTTCATCCACATTTGGTCTTTATTGACCTTCTGACGGGGGAACATCATTAGTCTCATTTTTCTATTCTATCCAATATTTTCAATTTCCTTGGTTTAGAATCTTTTGAACCAAGTGGTCTCCCACGCTTTCTGCGTGCTTGAGATTCATTTTCAATGGCCTTATATCCAGTTGGAATTTCAATACGTGCAGGGGAATTTTTTGCTGGTATATATGATTTTGTCACCTTCTTTGTGTCTACAAATGCATCAGGCAATTGATTTGCAGCA